ATTGGAGAGCACTGTGGGGATTCACGCTCCGCCTAGGATCATCTCTGCGCGAGGGCGCAAGCGCTTAATTTAGGGGATGCAGGTACGCCTTCAATAATTTGATTTTTCTAGACTCATATCGTTTCTTATTAGGTTGTTGCGGCATTATTAATCTTCTGTTGTTTGTGTTTCTCAGATTTATTCTCGCATGTTGTCTGCGAATTACTCGCAACGAAAACTGGATTAGGCAAAACATGAAAGATCATTCTACTAAAATAGACAGGGAGGTAATTAGTAAGTAAGTTGGTACGTAACACTTTCTTTAGCAAAATTCTACACATTAATCCTTTTCAACCCTTTTAACCATCATTCGACGTAGTGTGAAATCCAGAAGAGACGTTGCAACTATGAAATAGTAGATACAGAGCATTTAAAATGATTACCCACTGAAGCTCAACTTCTCGTATTTGTACTCAACTTACACAATGTCCACCCGCAACTCTACTTTTCCTTTGTTTCATAAAATACTTTAACTGTTTACTATAATGGTCGCTAATTTTGATATTTAGGTAATGGATATTGAGCATTGAATATGGATTTAAATTTCCACGTAATAAGTATTTATCTAAAAAAAATGTGTACAAGATTCAGTTATCCATTTATCTATCAATGTACAGTCATTTTTGATTATACCCGATACCACAGAGGAATTCCTCTATGCCGATACATAACACAACTCAGTGCAACGGATTATAAATTTAACCTCTTTCATATGGGATGAAACTGATTTTAATTTACCTAATTTACTTAATAGAACAGATGAAAAGTCATACGAATTTTTAAACATGATGAGCTTTTATAATCTTGCACAATGTAATAATATAATCAACCATTAAGATGTAATTCTTGAGTTTGTTCTAACAAATGTAAATATTACAGTAAAAGTATCATACAGTCTTCTTGTATTTGACATCCCGATGATCTTTGTATTGTATCATTATTGGTACTACTTGATCTACAACAGCATACACATCCTTTGAATATTTCATCGCAAAGTTAATTTTAAGGGACCTGTTCAATTAAAGTTTAATTGTAATTACCGAATAGGTATATTTCTTTGTTAGGCAAAAGATATAATTTATTGCCAAAAACAATGCGGTGCATATAAAGAAAGTTTGGCAATATACCTACTGCTGGTACTAAAAATGAACGAAATTGAGTCCGTTGCACATTAGCGCTGATTTGGCATTTGTTCAATTACACCAAGATCGATAAAAACAAATGTGTTATACAGCTTACAGCTACAGCAAGCGGTCGTAGGTGAGTTTCGGAAGAAGTCATATCTGTATGAGTTGACGACAGACGTAACAATTTAACGTTTAGCTGTTTACCTACTAATAAAGTAAGAAGCTCGGTAAGAAAGTTATTTCGAATTACGAGATGAAAAACGAAGTTTCGTCTACACTATTACGTTTTGCTCGAGGACATCATCGCCAAGTAAAGATTTGATTTAACTCCAATTTCGAAATAAACCACGCCTCAGTTCTTGCGACAGCATTCATTTGTGTACAGAGCTGGTACTACCTTAGTGTAATAATACACTATGGTACTACGTACTACGTCTGAGTTCGATCAACCATATCAGACTACTAAGAGAAAAATCAGCCGCCAAATCGCAGGAGAAGATCTCTTTTTACAGAGGGGGCTGATCCTAAAGGGCACAAAGGCATGTGCCCATTTAATCGTCAAGATAAAAGTCGGAAATAAATTAGCATCTGACATACATTTACATTTTATAAGGGATGGTATCACACTTTCCTTCCGTCCTTTCGCAGGCAAGTTAGCCGTACGTAAAGGTTCAAACTATCTTCCCAGGCATAGTCTGTCGTTGCTCCAAATGCGAATGTAATTTTCTTTATTTGCTGACTTCGGTTATCTCCGTATACGTGCTTTAAGGTTGATTTGGGGCGCCGAACTGGTGTGCCCCAGTTTAACATTTGTGCGTAGCGTTGAACTCTTTCTCTTAGTTTCCGCGCGTATTCATGAACGTAACTTTGCATCTGAATCAGACGCAGCGCTTGCAACACAATATGAAAAGTTCACAGGTGCTTAAAGGGGATTAAAAAAAACTAACCAAACGAATTGTTAGACGTAATGTAAATTTATTACCAGGAAATATCAATAGAACACCCTCATTAAGTTATCAATGACCTTCTTTTTGTCGGCAGCCTGTATGCAGATGTTATACATTGATATTTATGTAGAAGTAAACATAGCTGGATTTCCTATAGGAACTTCCTATGTCTACTTTTACATGATAAAAGTCTACTGAAAGACGCCTAATTTTATGCAACTAAAATAACTTCTTGAAACAAAAAGATCTGGCTGTCATATTAATTATTAAATTGAATATTGTTGCTTTAGCTTCACAGAAAATAAATCTCTTAAGCTCCTTTAACTGTTATCGGCACTATACCAATTGGAAATATTCACTTTTTCTTTAGTTGAATACATAGCACACGAACCGTAATTAGAATAGGGAAGTCGAAGCGATAATAGTCAAATTAATTAATATGACAGGGAGATCCTCATTTGTTGTAGGTAGTTACTTTGGTTGCATAAAATTAGGCGTCTTTCAGGAGACTTTTTATCATGTAAAAGTAGACAGGAAATTCCTATAGGAAATCTCTATGTCTACTTCTACATGAATATTACTGTATAATCCATCAGTTATGTTATATATTCTCAATATTAACACAGATTTTAGTGTTTAACTCTGTGATATTAATTAAGCATGATAAAAACTTCGGTATATACGTATATACATGTACACCGATATTTTACCATACCTAGGTATTGTTGTATTGATATTTAATCTTAAGTTCTTTGCATTAAAACTAAAACGAAAACAATGACCGAACTTCTGAAGCAATCGCCATTCTAAATATTAACCGGTCACTAAGCTGCGGATAGTTTTTTTAACTTTGACATTTGTTCTCCCTGTTTAGCGCATTTTCTAATTCATGTTGGAACGCGCTATTATGGCCAATTACTCCGTCCGTCCGGCCGACGTCTTAACTACTCCTACAGTTTTCAGGATGTTTCTGTCCTTCTTTTTGCATTCCGTAGCTCATAACTCTGGCACCTCACCCAAGGAAAATCTATACGATTAATGTGCGCATGCGCAGTCTGTGCAATGTCAACTTGCTTATTTATGGAGATATTTCTTTAAAATTTTAACTACAGATTCTTGTTGTAAAAGCAAACATCGCAATTTTAGACATCAGGCGTGTGCATGCGCAGACTGCTATTTATAAGAGTATTTATGTCTTATTTTCTTTTGTACAAATAAATAGTCCGTTATATGGCCTTTGTCGAAGTACTGATCAATTCATAGAAAATGCGCTAAACTATTATTCGCCTTAAGGCGAAAACGTTTTTTTTTTCATTTTTGAAAATAATGCTTAGCATAATTTATTGTTAAAGGTTTTACACAGCAAAAGAGAGTCTTTCGAATAATTTAATGAAAATCCTGCGTTGTTATTTGAAAAAAAAATTTTGTATGACGTAACGGCGCTAAAAACTGAAATCTTGAAAAAAGCTTTACATCCTTTATGCCTAATGTAAATTCACAAAATTTTAACGAAAACATAGAAACCGTTTTGGTAAACAATTTTTTTTTAGTTTTTAAAGTTTGGCATTTTTTTCTCAGTTTTTTTGTAATACAAGCTGGCACAATTTTTGTAGATTGTACACAGAAAAATAAGGTCTTACGAATAACTTAATAAAAATTGTCGGTTGCTATTTGAAAAAAAAAGTTAGATGCCGTTGCCGGGCTCCAAAATTTGTTTTCAAAAATCCGGCCCGTTATTTTTCGTTTCAGTATGCATATCAAAAATTTGAACAAAATCGGTCGACACATACACATACATACAGACGGAAAAAGTTTTAGTCTTTAAAAGTTGCTTAAATATAAAATATCGACAGTGACTTTTATGTGTCTAGTTAACATGAGCGAGTAGTGAATTTGGTGCATAATGTACGTGCAGCTCTGTTACCAACTTTCCAGCGGATTCTGTAACCGGTCCGTGTGTAATTTAATCTCTACGCAAGTTCCGCTTATATGGATTATTTATTTACCGATTATTAACAATTATTAATTATCATCAAGAAGTTTGCGCAAAGACTATCGCGTATTCATTTAATTGCGCTACAATTTCTATTTTAAATATACTTTTAGAAAATTTGGTATCGACTGCTTGAGTTTGGTTGTCTTTGTTAAGATTTTTTCATAGGTCCATCATTCAGTTTGCTGACCCTGGGCCAAATAGCAATGAATAAAGGCCAAACAAACCGTTTTTTTTGTGTTTAGCATGCAGGAATTTTTTAAGTACTATAAAACCGTATACCATCTATACCAGTACTGGTTCAAATGTCAACCTATTGAACAAGGATTCCGATTCTAGTTCCAGTACCCATATGTATCGCCAAAATCCCTTCCCCAAGGTGGTGCACTCCTAAATGGATGTGCTAAACAAATTCTAGGGATTTTTCACTCCAAGAATTAGTTTTGGAAAATTCTAAAAGGCATTCCAACTATAAATTCATTCTAGTATGCGATCATTCAGGCCATGCTCCATGTTCCGATGTGCACGGTCACGTTTAAACCGATACCATCATATCAACCATCCATGATATAGCGTCCATCTATCATCCAGGATATGTGCTTCTATCACAGCTCCGTTGTGCACGTACCCTAAAGGCGGGAATACTCTTGGAAGACTTCTCGCGCGAGTTGCTGACTGATAGCACTTTCGAGGGGTAAATAGGTACCACTGTACGTTCCACTTACGGTAGTATGTATGTACACCTCGAGTATTCCCCCCTTTAGGTAGCGCTCATGAAGCGCATCGTCTGGTGAACGTATCTCGTAAGCATTGATTAAATATTCAGTACGTTACCATAACAACGTATTAACTATTAATCAATAATAAGTTGTTGTTTTGTCATAATACCGAGTGTCAGTGCCTAAGTGTGTACAAACATAGCAATGTCTCCCAAACCTGTCTTTTTAGATGTAGATTCATCAGTCGTCGAAAACAAGTTGCGCATTACTGAACAAAACCAAGCGAACAGTTTCGATAAACTATTTAGTGCACCTCCTCCAACGCCAGTAATTCCCGAACCAGGATTTTGTGTTAAAACTAGGGAAACCACCACAAGTACTAAACTGTTTATCAACATTTGCTACACAGATGCGATTCCTCCACCGAACGACATATCCGAGGAGGAGCTAATGCTGATATGTAAATCGGAAGAGATCTCTTCCTTTAAAATTCCGATGAGCATAGGAGATATCATTTCCGAAAAAGATAAAAACGGAGACGACGTGAAAACTACCGACGTCGCTGTTCACTCGACTTTCTTCAAGAAAATCCAGGACAGCGCCGTATTTAGAGATTTGTTGCATTTGAAGGAATTAAATCCAAGCATAGTATCTCCACTACTGAGGATCGCATTATTCTGAAGAATCGGAAAGCTTTCGGCCAACTACAAGTGCACCGTATTCGCCACAGTAATGAATACAGTGACAACAACAGTGAAGCAAAAGTTAAAAATTATCTGGATGCCTTAAAGGAGAATGAAGGAAGTAGGAAACCAAAAATTGAAACAATATCCACCCAACATTATGGACAAAGTGATTTGAAGAACCCAGAATATCGTCTATTCCGAAAAATTAATGAGCCTAGCGTTCTTTATAGTGAGATTAAACTTTTAAAGGTAAAGGACTCCAGTGAAATAAATTTAAATGTTGGCGAAGACAGAATCATACTGGGGTCGAACGGTGTAGATTATTTTTTAGACGTTTTTGTGCCTTTTAGTATAGACCCAGATTGTGTAACGGCATCATTTGACAAAAATTCAAAAATTTTAAAAATTTCAATGCCATTAATCATTTAAATATTATAATCGTTTGTGCATGTTCAATTATTTTTGCTACACACCAAGACTTCAATTTTAAGAATATACATATATGCAGGTAGATTATCTGAAATCCTTACCAATAAAAGCGATCGACGTAAAGTGTTTATATTGTTTGGCCAAAGTCTCAAGATAAAGTATTCGGATTATTCCTGCTTATTGCACTTTTACTCTACACATATCCAAGTGTATCTGTCTATGATCACTTTGTCCACCCACCCGTCCTGATAGGGCTGTAGTATCAGACTCGAAAACATCACTTTTGTGTATAAAACCCTAGATTTTGAATTTGACAATGTCAAACCTATTATTTGATTCTCCCAAGACCGATTTTGACTTGGATATAGTGGGTGCCCTCCTACAATGCAAATGGGTGAGTATAAGGAGATGCGGTAAAGATCCCTTTTTACGTGCGAATTAAAAATGTCCCTACCAAAAGAAAGCAAATTAGATTATGGTTTCCCATAAAATTAAGTATATCATGTATGCTAAGATCAATACATAAGGAAAGGGGTAGGTCTCAAACAATAGTTATTTACATAATAAGTCATGAAAGTGGTCGTTTACATGGCGCGGAGGCTTCTTGAAAAGTACGAGTATCTCTTTAATGCCTCCAAGATGCTCCAACTCAGGTGGACTCACTTTCATGACGTATTATGTATAAAATTTTACCTGAAACCGCAACATGTAGATAACTTTTCTAAATTAAATAATTCATGTATGAAACTTTGATACCTAATCACGCATGCTAAAATCACTTTATTTAATTGTTTCCATAGAGATTTCAATCATTGTCATTTTTAATCAGGGATTTGCAGTTTATGCTTTGTACTTTTTAACTATACAGTCTTTATAACTAGGTACAAAAGCAGGTATCAGGTGAAGAAGAGTACCTACGCGAAACGTTGTTATAATGTACCCGAAGCTGCGGCCGCCGTAGTGCAATATTCGCTCCCCACAAAGTCAAGAAAGAGGTACGAAAAGGCGTACAAACCTTTTAATGACTGGCACAAAACTAAAGGAATAATTACTTCCACACATATTCCATTAATTGTTAGTAATTAAAAAACCATTATCCTTTGTGTAGGTATATTAATATTAAAAAATATCCACATAGTTTGCATTATAATTATCCAATCGTTGATTGAATAACTTATTCAATGAACGATCTGATTGTTATTTTGCATGTTCTAGGACTGTAATGGAAGTCAGGCAAAAATATTACAGTACTAGTCAGGTAAAGATCAACTTTCTAATGTCACAATAGCCCTGAAATTTAGATTTTCTTGGCGGTTTCAGGTAAATATACTACTTTAATGCTTTGCCTCCATGTAACTTTTTAATAAACCGCTTCAACATTGCATTCCTACACTTGCACTTGCAATAGATGTTTTTCGTTTTTAGCTTTGTTTAATGAAGCATGACCTGATTGTCGTTCCAATGCAACAGTTGACTGCCCAGTTGACGTTTTATGTTCGTAACATTGTAATATTTCCGTCAAAATGGTCAGTTGCTGAAATCTTCGATACGGTTATTTTCGAATTTGATCAGACCCATCTTATATCTTTTATTAAAGTTCATGCCAAAGAATTAAGATCAGACTCGGAAATCATCCTAGTTACCGCCCATTCTAAACCCTGTTTTTTAGCGCAATTTTTAACAATTAAAAAAATACCCATCGATTAATACACTCCCTTAATATTCGACCAATCAGCTTGGTGATTGTTTCAAAGATTTACGTGACGTTGCCGGTCCGTGACGTGACACTGACGTTTCGTAAAATGCGAATCGACCTTAATTCAGAGTAGCCGGCAGCTCGAAACTGATCTACGGTAATTCCCATCTCTGTCACAGATGAAAAATTCTTACCTCAGCCCAGGTTCGAACACCCGACCTCCGGCTATGTACCACCGACTCACATAGACGGGTCAACATGCGTTTTAGGATTTTTTGTAAATACTTTACAGTCACTGAAATAATGAATTTATTCCATTTGGGTTTTCCACATTGTATAATTAAATTCTGCATAAACGTCTTTACGTCTCTTTATGATGAAATTATCGACATACCGATTTTTGATATCCCAGTGTTACGAGGTCCATTTCGTTGGCCCCACCCATTTCAAATTTTTGTATCAAACTGTGCATTGTTAGTGCATGTAAGTGCATCCAACATTTTCGTTAGTGCACGCATATTTTCCGAGATATTTAAAAAAACGGCGGGCGGAGTTGAAGAAATGCCACCCCCGCCCAATTGCCATTTTATCAGTATTCTTTTTTTAATCGTTAGTGCAGCGTTAGTGCACTTTTCGAAAAATAAAAAAAAATCATGGACGGGGTGGACGAAATGCTCCCCCACCCAATTAATATTTGATGGCCATTACTTGTCTAATCATTAGTGCAGCGTTAGTGCATGTAAGTGCACCTAAGGATTTCTTTAGTGCACGATCACTTTTCGAGAAATTAAAAAAACACGGGCGGGGTTGACGAAATGCTCCCCCGCCCAATTAATATTTGATAGCGATTACTTTTTTAATCGTTAGTGCAGCGTTAGTGCACGTAAGTGCATGTAAAGATTTGGTTAGTGCACGACCACTTTTCGAGAAATTAAAAAAAATGGACGGGATTGACGAAATGCTACCCCGGCTGTATTTAGATTTTATGAGTATTCTCTTTTTAATCTTTAGTGCACCTAATAATTTGGTTAGTGCACGACCACTATTTGAGAAATTAAATATACCTAAACACGGGCTGAGTTGTGAATTGATCCAATTAAGAATATGTCGTTATTGCTAAATGTACCTATGTACTTCAGTTCGCCATGTCTCAAATAAAACTCATTTAAGTTTAATATTTAAAAATACAATACAAAACCTTAGATACATCTCACAAAATCCTACGATGCTAAGTAAACATACCTAAAACAAAATTCAGGAATTTAAATAGTGTAAGTATATTAGAATTTGACCTTTTTTTGCAACGGTATTTGGTTTTGCAGTTTCAATTCTGTTTGAAAGGCCATCTACCCGTTCCCAAAGATTATTTGGAGACCGCAAACAATAAGCAATGTAATGTCAAATTGCATTAATTGTTTTCGCACGTGGAGGAATGAAACTGATAACCCCTCTAAGTTTGTATTCACTACCACCAATGTTCATTGATGTATCCGCGATTGACGACAATTGCATGTCCATTTAGAAATCAACGTAATGCAGTCCTATAGTCCGTAAAATGAATGAATTTAATAACGGATTAGCGCTGATGAGTGATGATGGCTCACTACACGTGCGGTTAGGTTTCCTGACGTTCGAAAAGATTTAAAATGCCTATAACTACAGGAGAATCATTAATATAAATAAGCGCTAATCCGTTTTTGGTTAAAAAGTTGTCATTCGGCGTGTGTTGGCGTTTTTTCCTGTAATCAGTTCTCTTTGAAAAACAACTTCTTGCATGAGAGGGATTGTGCAAGAGCCTAAACGTTTGCACTAAGGAAATTCCTTAGGTGCACTAACGATTAAACAAGTAATCGCCATCAAATATTAATTGGGCGGGGGAGCATTTCGTCAACCCCGCCCATGTTTTTTTTAATTTCTCGAAAAGTGATCGTGCACTAAAGAAATCCTTAGGTGCACTTACATGCACTAACGCTGCACTAATGATTAGACAAGTAATGGCCATCAAATATTAATTGGGCGGGGGAGCATTTCGTCAACCCCGCCCATGTTTTTTTTAATTTCTCGAAAAGTGATCGTGCACTAAAGAAATCCTTAGGTGCACTTACATGCACTAACGCTGCACTAATGATTAGACAAGTAATGGCCATCAAATATTAATTGGGCGGGGGAGCATTTCGTCAACCCCGCCCATGTTTTTTTTAATTTCTCGAAAAGTGGTCGTGCACTAAAGAAATCCTTAATTGCACTTACGTGCACTAACGCTGCACTAACGATTAAAAAAAGAATACTGATAAAATGGCAATTGGGCGGGAGTGGCATTTTTTCAACTCCGCCCGCCGTTTTTTTTTAAATATCTCGGAAAATATGCGTGCACTAACGAAAATGTTGGATGCACAAACGAACAAAATTAGTTTGGTACAAAAATTGGAAATGGGCGGGGCCAACGAAACGGACCTAGTGTTGCGTGTATCAAAACCACATCCTGTACCTAGAATTAAAAAATGATTCATTTTTACCTTAGGCGACCTTAGGGAAAAGTTTGTTTGAAACCATGATATAGAAATTTAATTTCTTTTTGTTTGAAAAGGCAAGATGCGCAAAAATTCAGTTCTCAAGCCGCGCTTGAGGTAATTTTTTATGCGACAATACAGGTGAATAAATGAAGATTTTTCACTACCAAATTTACTAAAAAAAAGAGCACCAATAAAAGCACAAGATGACGTTTTTGGGCCTCAATGCAACCTGTTTTCTAATCTCTCCAAAATTGGCGAATACATAATATTGATGATCAAATTTGTTTGATAAAATTCTTACTTGCTGTGTTAATGGGTATTTCCACCTTAAAAACTTTTTAGAAGTTCTTGAAAATGGAACTAAGAAATCGTTTTTAGGCTTTAAACTTTAGCCTACATGCTCGGATTGTTTGTATCCCCCGAGGCATTATGACTTATGAGTACATTGACTTTACTACCTACATACCATACGTTACAAGTTCTGAAATGATCTGTTCAAAACCTAAAACTTTAACTCGAAATTTATTTAGGAGACGGGAAGATTTTATTGAGCTATAGAATTAAATTTGAAATTTGCAAACTCCTTTCAATAATCACGGATTCCATTTTACCATACTGTAAGTTTGATCGGCCCAATGAATAATAGTGTCATTATTGTGTTTGTGATTTGAAAAGATTTGCAGTACGTAACATAAAAGTTAAAACCAAGAATCTTTAAATCAGATCATGTTGTCACTATACTATAAGCAAGTGTCGTAGGGGGAGGGTATGCTTAAATCCTTCAAAACAGATAGCCGAATTATTACTTCATCATTTAGTTTGTTATCGGTGCAGCCCTGGGTGCAGCTTTCTTTATTCCTTAGTCTTTATTCTGCATTTTTAAAACGTCTAAAGATAAACAGTGTATTTTACACAATTTAAGTAGTACATTCATGAGTTAAAAAAATGGCACACAAAACAGACCATCAAGTAATTTCTAATCTTCAACGCGCAATAAACCTTTGTTTCCGTTGGTTAACTTGCTTTTGTCATTTTTAGCGCATTTTTTAAGAATTAAAAATAATGTGCTATTGTTTGCGTTTTGTCCGTCCGTCCGTCCGGACCCACTTCTGCCGTTTTGAACTACTTTTAGGGGAATGGTCCTAGAGTCCTGGAATTTTTTGCAATAGGTAGCCTATACCTTGAAGGTGTGCCAGACGGCTATCAAATTTCGCTGTCTAAAAGGCCCCTCCCCCCACGAATTATTTCCTGAGATGCTGTTTTTGAAAGTAAAACGTGAATAACTTTTACATACGACAACCAATTGGTCTCAGATTTTGCATACGCATGCCTTTAGTGGTGCCATGTTTAACTTTAAAAAATGGGGGAGGGGTAAACACATGTTCTACCCTTCGTGGTATTTTAATGAAAGGTCTCATCGAAATAAATTGGTTTGTAGAACCTATAACTTTCCCGTGCGACTCTTTTTCGAGATCAGTGAGTGACGGGGCTTGAGGAGGGGGGGGGGGGGATGGAACTGATCGGGTATATTCCCTTATACCTCAAGAAGGATTGTCGGAAGAGGGTACGCACAAAGGGAGATTGAGACGTCTGCAAGAAATATATCCATTGATGTCAAAACAAAAGCTATTTCGGTTAAAAAAATGTGCTTTATCTGCACAACAGCTGTGCACAATTTATACTTGTTTAAAGTAGCTTAGGTTTTGCAATATGGCATCTCTCTCTTTTGTCTACCGCGCTCTCTTTAAATCGCGTGGCAGAATTAATTAATTGATCAACATCAAAGTCTAATTTTTTAATTTTTTTAAGTCTAATTATATAAATCCGTGAGACCGCAAACAATAATCGACCAATGCCCAATTGGTACTCCCAACGTCATCTTCTAAAGTATTCGCCCTATTTCTGATAAAACTGAAATATGATTAGCTGACATAAAGGCGAATAAGATTCCGAGTACTGAAAAGCTCGTTTGGCATCCTTAACGCTATGTCCTAAAAGTCATCCTCCGCTAGGAAAAATCCAAGGTACAACCTTACACCATAAAACATAATCATGTCTTAGTTTGTAAAATTAGAAATGCATAATTTGTCATTTTTTTAAGTGTAGATTAGGTTTTGCAATACAGCATCATTCTCTCATGTTATTTATTTATTGAACGCTTTGCTTTTGCTAATTTCATAGAATGCAATAACACGGTCCAAAATCCAAAGCCACTCTTTTGCTTCAAGAAAATGTAAAGACTGGTACCTGTAGGTCGTTTAAATTTTGGAGAGTTGCGTATTCTGATGCTTAACAAAATTCAGTTTTGAAACTGAAAAAATTTTGACTACTTTCGGAGATATTCTGAAAAAAACGAAATTTTGCATAATTGTTTTTATTTTTTACCGAAGTTATTTAAAAAGGCACTTCTAAATAAATGGCACATTATTATAGCCACTTTTTCCCTCTACAAGATTCTAGTTTTAAATTTTAACTCCGACGTTTTGTCTCCGGTGAACCATCATAAACTTTGTTTTTTCTTATGAAGTCATTTTTACTGTTTTTGTCATTTGATAGAGAATTTGTTCTGATTTCAAAACTGTAAATACATATTACTATTCTTTAAATATTTTTAAAATATCTTTTTTACCTGGCAAACTTGGTCATGGGTAGCTTGCATTTTTACTAATTATTAGCGTCATTTTTTAATTAGAAAACAGTGACATTTACATTTTTGAAATCAGAAAAAAATGCTCCATCAAATTACACAAAAAGTCAAAATGACTTCCACAAGAAAAAACAAAGTTGATGATGGTAACCAGAGACGAAACGTCAGACTTAAAATTTAAAACCAGCATATTGTAGAGAGAATAAAGTGGTCATAATAATAATAATAAAAATAATAATATACTTTGAAATATTAAAAGGAACCACAAATGTAAACTTTTTATCCAATTTTATTCAACTCAATGTCGCTGCATCTTATATCAAATGACGGTAATAATTTTAAATCTTCGTTCAACTTCACATTCATGTGATATTTTTAGCATAGCCTGATGATGGGTGGTTAACCCGAAATCGATTGCTTTATAGAAACAATAAAACATTTGTGGTTCCTTTTAATATTTCAAAGAATCTCAACGAACCAAAAAATGGAGAACTTCATTACATATAAATAATAATATATATTAATTGGTCTAGTTGATCACAAGATCTGGATATAAGACAAGTCATAGTAATGTGTCATTTATTTTGAAATACTTTTTTAAATAACTTCGGTGAAAATGAAATACGATTTTTCAAAATTTCGTTTTTTCCGGATATCTCCGTAAGTAGTCGGAATTTTTCAGTTTCAAAACGGTATTTTGTTAAGCATCAAAATACGCAACTTTGCCAAATTTAAACTACCTAACTATCGCTTACAGTTTCTGAGATCCCTAAGGGGGCCCTCGAATTTGAATCAGCCTATACCTATACTAACTGAAAAGCCGTTTTAATTGATTCTCAGAACTCCTTAGTACAGTATGGCGCTATATCGAAAACAATAATTATAGTGTTGACCCTTGTTCAAAATGGTAAGTACATATATTATCATTGATTTCGCGAAATTCTTCATTCAATCGAATTAAGGAGTTGTTTAGACAAGAAGTAGAATGGAGAAGCTGAAGCTTAAAAATAGTCGGTGGATATTGATTCCCTTCTGAAACCTGAAACTGTTGCAAAACTTTACTAGACGTTATCCACTAAAACAAAAATTGGCATGCAGGGTCATACGCTATATGGAAGTTTCAAGCGAATCCGTTCGAAGGGAGGCCAAATATAAAATCTCACACCTTTAAAATATTGTAATTTTAGTAAAATTTAATTATCATACGCAGTGGTAGTATGAACAATTACCTAGATTGTACATTTCCCTTGTCTAATTAAAAAATAAAAAGTATGGATGACATAATGACAATAATAGTCATTGCAATTGTTCGACGATAAGTCGATAGAAAAAGAGTGAGAATACATATCTACCAATGAAATACTTTATTTTATTCATGATATTGTCTGATTCACAATTAGAGTCTAATAAGGGATGCGCGAGGATGGGGATATAGAAAATATTTCGTTCCACTAAAAAGAGAGCAAAATAGAAAAACGATTAATAAAAAAAGTACAACAAAAGCTTTTTATAGCGGGATTATATTCCTCAATTTGGTTGGATTGAAATATACAGGTTGAGGGGTCGTTAGGGTTAAATCGGTAATATAATGCGCGAGGGTGGTCTCAACTGCAGGTCCTCCCTTGCGGCTGGTGGGGTCTTCTGATGAGCACCGGAACAAGTACCGTATGTCAGTTATATCAATGCAAGAGATAACAAACTTATCTGTGGGTTTATTTGTGTAATAGACTTGTCTTAAACTTTGGCGCGAAGGTGTAACTATAAATTGACAAATTTTAAAGACGTTCAACTTTAACTTAATGCAAATTATTTTAATATTAAATTTTTGTGTGTTGTCTTTACGTGTTTCGAGGGAAAATGTGCAATGTGTTCTGAATAATTGAAACGCTTTGATTCATCGATATGCTGCACCATTACAATTACTCCAACCCCTTATCGCAGTTTTTAAGTTTTCACCAGTTGGATGAGCAAACGACGCCGGAAAATGAGCACACATCTAGTAGTATTTGCGACGAACAAATTGATGCGCGGTACAGGAGCTCATCGACATCGGTGTCTTCCACAAGTAAATCGTTTACAATTGCCGCAATCTTAGGTTTAAAAAATGATAATACGACTGATGTTCAAAATTCGCCAACTGATCTTACGGCAGTAGTTAACCTAAGCGTACATCAAAGTGCTGCAGAACGAGCTTTGGTATCTAGTTGCAGCAGATTGCAACTTCCGGTTCGTCATAGTTCTTCAGCAGTCAGCGTGACAGGACACTATTCTGTCGCTTCTTCGTGCTCTACTAGACACACAGGTAAATAATAGAGATATTGCATTACTTAGACTTTTACCGTAATCTAATATTGGTTTGGCTTCAACGTGAAATGACTCAATTACATAATTCATTTTTAACGGCCCTTTGTAATTACATACTTGATTTTAAAGAACTCACTTTCCTCTAATATTCAGTTACTAAAGACATTCATTGTGGTACCTACTAGAAAGAAAACACTTCTTAATAGATAAAGATAGGCAGTTTTTATAAAATTGCAGAATGGACACACCATACAAAAACAAGTTAATCATTGTCCATGTTGTGCTGGCTAAGTCCCCATTTATTTTTATAATCAACAAAATTCAACCTATTTTGCCGATTTCCGATTCCTAGATCTTATTAGATTTCATTCATTCAGTAAGGTATAGGGAATACTTGCGGCCACGTCCACTAATACTAAAAACCGGCAAAATACCGAATGCATTTATCAATGGTAAGTGTAATCAAAGACTATCCTCAATAGTCTTTGGTGTAATGTTCATCTATCGGTTCGTCTACGGTTTGGACCGATTACGAAAAAATGATATCTGATAGCTGAAGTAACATTGACTTAGCATACCTTTCTTGGAAACACGAGCCGTTTTGCTTAAAAACTGGATACCAAAACTAACATAATAACCACGAATATACATACCCACATCGGTTCGTTGCATACATAAATTCCTTAAGATTTCGGAAGCCGATTCACAATATATATACAGGCTGTTTCACGCAAGTCGCTACCTAAGAGTTTTCAGGCTCTCATTACATTAAATGAAATTTGCATACCAGTCTAGTTTTTCATGAACTATCGAAAGAAAATATTATAAAATCGTTTCACTTCCGGTTTTACTGAATGTGGATAGCACATTTATTATTTTAAATAGAACGCTCTGTGTTACTGCATTTTCGAAATCTATACATCAAAATCTACGTCGTAATGTCGTATACAGGGTGGTGACTTGCGTAACGCATCATAGAGATTTCAATGTAAAATTCATAACATGCGATTATTGGCTCCCCAAATTATTTTACAGCAAAAATGTATTAAGGTTTTTTGTAGCAAAAACTTTTTTACGTCAATCAACCCTATTAGTTTTCAATTTTTTTCATATAAAGACGGAAAATTGGAAAAATAAAACCCGCATCTTTTTCAATAATCTGCGATGCCATGGAATTTTCTAAAACAAAAAGATATCCAGTTATCAATTTGCAGCAGTTCGATATGGATTTTATGATCGACTTGGTTACTGTCTTGGAGTTTATGGTGACTTATTCGAACATTTATTGTAAATTGTTATTTTAGAAAACCGTTTTTAGTAATTTGGTCTTTCTTTATGTTGAATTCACTGTTCTAAATATAATACTTTTTGATAGAATTTGATTTGTTTTATAGCAGACATGACGGATATTGGCGTAGTTTTTGTATTATAAAATTCCATGGCATCACAGATTATTGAAAAAGATGGGGGTTTTATTTTTCTAATTTTCCGTCTTTATTATGCACAAAATTGAAAACTAATACGGTTGATTGACGTAAAAAAATTTTTTCTACAAAAAACCTTAATATATTTTTGCTCTAAAATAATTTGGGGAGACAATATTCGCATGCTATGAATTTTACATTGAAATCCCAATGATGCGTTACGCAAGTCACCACCCTGTATAGGTACCTATGTTACTTTCCCTATACCCAGCACCAAATGTTTCCAAGTTATTCAAAATTTTTCAACATTTTTAACGTTTGTCTGCTTTTGTTTTGAGCCGTGTACCTATATGACTTCGTCGACTTGAATTTTAAAAATTCTTCCAAAATCAACAATACTGATTTGATGCTACATGAGAATGACTTCAATTTTGACCGGCATTGAAAACCTTTGATGCTGGGTATAGGGCAATGTGGTATCAAACGATTTCAAAAATTCGATAAAATACAGGACGTTCTATTGAAAACAAAAAATTTGCTATCTACATCCGGTAAAACCGGAAGTGAAAGAATCATTATAATATTTTCTTTCGATAGATCATGAAAAACTAAATTGGTATGGAAATTTTCAGATTTTAATTATTAACGGGGGCCTGAATATTTTTAGGTAACGGTTTGCGTAGCCTGTATGTCGTAGCGAAACTTAAATCGTTTAACTTAGAAGACGGAGAGAAACTCCTTCATAGCAAATAAAAAAACTCACGTCTCCGTCGTCATGATTAGGTACCTATATTCAAACGAATTAGTAAAAATTGCGAAAATCCAAATGCACGAAGCATTTTATATAACAATTGAGTTAAAACCGTTACCCTCCTAATTCGCTGAATCTGAAAATGCCGTTGTCCAACTCAAAATTCCAACCGGAAGTGAGTTATTTGGGATGGCGTCGAATAGCGCCGAATCTAAGTGTTTAGCGCATTTTTTAAGAATAAAAAAATGTGCCATTGTTTGCGTTTTGTCCGTCCGTCCGTTCGGACCCACTTCTACCGTTTTGAACTACTTCTAGGGGCATGGTTATTTCCTGAGATGCTGTTTTTGAAAGTAAAACGTGCATAACTTTTACATACGACAACCAATTGGTCTCAGATTTTGCATACGCATTCCTTTAGTGGTGCCAAGTTAAACCCTAAAAAGGGGGGGGGGGGAAGAAACACATGTTCTACCCTTCATGGTATTCTAATGAAAGGTCTCTTCGAAATAAATTGGTTTGTACAAACTATAATTTTCCCGTACGGCTCTTTTCCGAGATCAGACAGCGACGGGGCCTGAGGGGGGGTTAAACATTAATTTTATCTCTCATTGTATTCTAATTAAAGGTTTCGACGAAAGGAACAGTTTTCTACAAACTACTGCCCTTCTTTCTGTCCTCTTATCAAAGTACGGAGTGGGGGGGGGGAACTAGTTTTAACCTTCATGGTACTTTAATGAAAGGTCTCAACGAAAGGAATTAATTTATACTAACCATAGTCTTCTTCCTCGATGCCTTGTCGTGATCGGTTGTAATTCCTTTATATCTTAAGAGTGAATTGTCAAAGGAAAATACCTACAAAGGGCGATTGGGACGTTTGGAAGAAATATAACCATTGAGCATTTAAATAAAATTTGATACATAGCCACTTGGAATAAAACCAAATTTAACGCCAGTTTCAAAATTATTTTTTTTTCTTTTGGTCATATGTATTCGATCCAAGTGTCCATTCCTATATTTTATTTTCGGGAGCGTAGAACACGATTAAACCTTTGAAATAAATTTGGTGCATTAAAACACAATTAAAAGGCTATATTTTAACGAAAATTCACCAAAATTCAAAAAGTGAGGTTGACATGTGTATTAAATACTGTGCTACGTTTGAGGGGATTCAGACCACGTTTAAATTCTCAAAAACATTTTGGACAGGTAACCTATTTAAGATATTTATCTAGTAGATTAACTTGACATTAATCCTTTCTTTATTCATCATCCTCACCTGTCCCATTCATTCACTTCGCTTTACATTTGCACAACTTTGTGCAAGGATCCTCAGTATTACAATCACCACATCACACTATATCAAACAACTTCATTCAACAAATTTATTATGCAAACATAAAAGACAGTAGCGTATTTTCCTCCTGGTGGGTTTCTTTATACAATCATTATCAGTAGTTCACTAAGCTCAGGATGCGGTTCCGTTGATTAGCAACGTACAATAAACCTTGGTTTTTATTGGCTATTTCTTAATTATTTTTGATAAGAACTAATGATAACGATTTCATAAACCCACCATAATAATGTTAACGCTGGGGCAGGGAAAAAATACTGGTAGGTAGGAAAACCTTGCCCCATTCTCTTTCAAATTAATCGTGGCCTATCGTAGAAGTTTGTCAAGTTTACACAAGTAGTACTACCTACATGTCAGTTTTTCATATAGTTAAATTAAAAAGTATCAACAAATACATTGTTCTTAACTGTAAATAAGAAAACTGGCAGTGCGCATGCGCAAAATCAAATTTTGAAACTGTTATTCCAAATGCCTTGGTATCGAATTTCATTTAAATGATTTCGTAAATAAAAAAGTTGGCACTGCGCATGCGCAAAACCAAAAATATCGTTACGCACGGAAGCCCTTTCAAATTAGCCCCATATCGCCCAAATCGGTTCAGTCGTGTAGAAGTAGTACCACAGATAGATTTAAATCATTTGAATTATTGCAAAAAAGTTTCAATTGTCTTTGGCCCTCTTGATTCACGATTTAACAAACGTGGATATAGACAATCAACAGATTGCTAACCTTATGCATTTCATGCGAACACAGTATCTTCTATAGAGACAGTGTGGTCATACGGTGGTGTTATTTTCTATTGGTAGTTTAAAGATCCGCCATGTTTTGACCCAATACACCACATTGGTAGAAATTAACCTGGAAACCAAGGCGACGCATTTATCTTGCTGGATACAATTGTGACAGTATTATTGTAACGAAAGCCAAATCTACTAATTTGATTAAACCAATCAATTCAAAGATAAATTGGCAAAAACCTGGCCGACATGGAACATTATGACCACACTGTCTTTATAGTCATTAAAGGGAATGAGTAGTTCCATTGTTCGGTTAAACAGATTACCTCCTATCATATCATGTCACTGTAATAATACCAATACAAAGGAGTTCGAATTGTGCAAACTTTAGCGCTTTGCCGCGACTTTTAATGCATAAATAAGCGGAATTTGATGGAACTTTTGTTTTTCAAATGCAATGCCTATTTTTTAACTTTGAAAAGAACAGTCAATTACTGTACGAAAACATAAAGTATGCATAATTTCGTGATTCAATATTTAGAAAACTTACGAAATCTAGCATGCCGTGTGCTGTCTGGAGGCGTGGTGTCTCTTTTGTTACACAGAAAAGACCTACATCAATTTGTTTAATGTTCCGTTTTGAGAATTTACTTTTGCGTGGTACGATCCCATAACAGAACCTGGCGACCACACACGATATGCTAGATTTCATAAGTTTTCTAAATATTGAATCACGAGTTTTTCCATTTTTTTCTATATCAACAATTAATCTTTTCAAATATCTTAAAATACATAGGCATTGCATTTGAAAAACAAAAGTTGCATCGATTTCCGGTTCCACCGGAAGTGGTACCGAATTTAAGTATGCCATCGGATAGATCGTGATGTCGCATATAAATTTGACAATTTTTCGAATGTCTCCAAATAAAAGAGATATTAAGCGGACCCTATTATCTCGAACACACTATATATAATATTGTAATAGAACATACACCACGAGCATACCACTACACATCCGCCAGTTTATATCAGAAAAACGTCAAGCGAGACGGATCTGGCAAAGGTCACGAAATGTCGCGGACCAACATATTTACAACAGATTAAGCCGGAAACTGAAAAACGCTCTCATGGACGTACAAAACAACACCTTTGAGCACTACATTTCCAAACTGTCCGCAAACGACAACACGCTCTGGAAGGCAACAAAAAAACTAAAAAGACCGCAAACACCTGTTGTACCTCCTATCCGTCAACCAAATGGCGAGTGGGCTCGTTCCGACAAAGAAAAGGCAGACGTGTTTGCTTCGCATCTAATCAATGTCTTTATAACCCAGCCAGACGATACTGATCAAGAAATAGAAAATTCTATCGACACTCCTTGCCAAATGTCCCCACCTATAAAAGCCTTCTCACCCACCGAAGTAAAGGAAGAAATCAAACTGCTAAACATACGTAAAGCCCCAGGATATGACCTCATCACTGGAGAAGTACTAAAACACCTCCCTAAGAAAGCCATTATTCTCCTAACAACTATATTTAACGGCATGCTTCGGCTAGCATATTTCCCTACAATCTGGAAATACGCAGAAATAATCATGATACATAAACCTGGAAAGCCGCCACAAGAACCGTCGTCTTATAGACCCATTAGTCTACTACCTATCACAAGCAAGGTTTTTAAAAGACTCTTTCTAAAGAGACTATATAAAGATCATGATCTCTCAACACTACTCCCCAACCATCAATTCGGATTCCGAGAAAAACACTCCACAATCCAGCAAGTTCACAGAATTTTCACATGTAATACCACTAGTGCTTGAATTATTTCCGGAAATTTGTTCGAGCTCACGAATATTTTGAAAATTAACCCGAGCCGAAAAATTTATGTATTCGATAGGGAAAACATATCTGTGGAGGAATTGGCAATGATTATGGAAGATTGTGGATTTAATATCTACCCAATTGTGTTTATTTCTTCTAGAATACTTTTTTATAACGCGGGTAAGTGACATTTTATGTCAAAACGTTCTCTTATGACGTCAAAAAATTTCCACTATAATTCGCTCTAGGTTACCCCTACAGACAAAAATTTCCGATAAATACCTCGGTTACCATGATAACGTGAGGCGAAATCTGCATTTCATTGGTCGAAAATTGTTGGTGTGAAATTTTCAACACAATATCCAGTAGTCTTGAAGAAAAGAAGTTTTGCAATGCGGTCTTCCTTGACACCTCTCAAGCCTTTGACAAAGTTTGGCACAGAGGCCTGATATTCAAGCTAAAGAACGCACTATCCCACAACTACTTCCTACTCCTAAAGTCATATATATCATACAGACACTTCTCTGTTAAACATTCAGACCAATATTCTAAGTTTTACCCTATTAAATCTGGAGTTCCGCAGAGTAGTGTGTTAGGCCCGCTGCTTTTCCTCATTTACACCGCAGATATACCTCAATCTACCAACACAGAAATCGCGTCTTTCGCTGATGACGTTGCAGTCATCGCCACCAACGAGAACCCTATAAACGCCTCCGCGGACTTACAAACCCACCTCAATGTACTTCAAGACTGGTACACTAAATGGCGGACAAAAATCAATCCAACAAAGTCAGTGCAAATTACATTCACCATGAGACGGGAAGTATGCCCGCCTGTAACGATGAACAATGAGAGAATTCCTCCAGCAACAGGCGTAAAATACCTCGGTCTTCATCTAGACCAAAGGCTCTAATGGAAAAAACACATACAGTCCAAAAGAAATCAACTAAACATAAAATTCCGACAAATGCAATGGCTCCTAAGCAGAAAATCAAAACTCTCTCTGAACAACAAAATATTACTCTATAAAGCTATGCTGAAACCCATATGGACATACGGTATTCAACTCTCGGGATGCGCAAAACCGTCGTCGATCAATAGCATCCAAAGATTCCAATCCAAAACTCTAAGAGCAATTGTAAACGCCCCATGGTACGTGAGCAATCAAACACTCCACAATGACCTGAAGATTCCCTTCGTGACAGCTGAAATACTGACAATAACAAACTCGTATAACAAGCAGATAGCCAACCACACAAACGACCTAATAGACCAACTATACACCAATGGCCCAACCACAAGGAGCCTGCACAGAACATGGCCCCCAGGCTTAGTACACCAATGAAATAGCAACTTATTGATAGAGAGAAACAATACTGATTGTTTCCTTTGCAGACTAAATACAAACAACACATTTACTTAATACTCTGTATAGATGTAGATTGTAAATGAGCAAATGTCGAATAAAAAAAAATAGTGTACTCAACAGATGTCATAACGTGTATTGTGTGTTACCTACTTCTACTTTGAAATTTCAATGCAACATGGCGGTTGGGCCGGTTGGGCTCCTATTGTCGCCACTGTCTCTATAAAATCACGCTAAATGTGTTACCCATGAAATGTATAAGGTGATAGCAATCTGTTGTTTATGTCTATCTGTTACCCAGCTGAATTTTGATATGGTCAATTTCCTACCATTTAAAATGTGCAATCCAATCGCAAGCTGCCGCAAGCCGTTGCTTCCGAAAGAGCATTGCAGAATTGCATATCAGGCAAAATCTCAAAATTATCTTCAAAACTAATGTATTGAATGTGTTTTTTCCATTGAATCGGTTCCTTTAAATTGCTGTGTCTCAGCACCACAGAACAGGAACATTTATGCTGTCACGATAAACATTTTCTTTATTGTAATTATTATATTCCTTACTTTCTCCTGATCACCTACTAAACACTGCTTTTATGTGATCTGATTATACTATCGATTTGTTTTATTACTGTTTCAGTGCGAGGCCTAAAGCATATACCCCCCGGTGTTATGAGCAAGAAGAGTTGCAAGAGTAAAAGAGTGCGCACCATTTTTACGCCCGAACAACTTGAACGCCTGGAAGCGGAATTTGAAAGGCAGCAATATATGGTCGGGCCTGAGCGATTGTATCTTGCTCACACACTTCAGTTAACAGAGGCACAGGTATAGATATTGTCTTTTAATGTATATAGTAAAATACTTGTAAAAGCGAAGATACCTACATGTATTTTAAAATGCGGATAATTAAGACCGACACTCTCATACGGTATCGCCGCGTCACACTTCGCTCATGTGAGCGTTTGCCTATTTAACTCAATGTGAGCGACAAAGGCGTTTCGGGGCGCCACGCTCCGCTGCGCGTAAGTAAGCAATTATTGAGTCGTGTAGGTAGTATAGGACTAATACCTATACAAGTGCTCCAATTTAGATAAATGCGACACTTGTGGCTAAATGAAGGCTTTTTTAAAACTGAAAACGCCAACTAAATTTAAGTATTTGATAACGAAATTACAAAAAATATTGTAACCCGTAGGCCCAAACTTCAAATGAGTATAACTTTTGTTTGAAAAGTTACCTATTTTAAAAAACTGTTCGACAATTTTGTTCCTTAACTCATCAAGTATGTACACAACAAATTTCGTGGATTCTCTCCATTTTCGTTGTCCGGTCAAGAATTGCAGTGGAACTTTTTTTTTCGAATTTTCAAAAACTAATTCCAGATTCGTCAGTTCAAAAACCCTCAGATACCAAATTTCGTCGAAATCAGAATTTTTTCGCACTTCCAAATAGGGGTTTGAAAAAAAGTTTTCAAAATCGGATAGGGCATACCCGAAAACCTACAAAGACATGCTAGTCACCTTTATAATTCTTATGGTTGCTGAGAAAAAAATTAAAGAAGAAATCCAATTTCACCACTTCTTTGGGGGTGACTTCCAAACTAAACACGTTGGACCCTCTGTTTATTTGGAAAAAGTGCTTATCTTGGTCCCCTTTATCACCCAATTTTTTTTTACATGTGCTCGTGTAACAGCCTGTATAACGCCAGCGCGAACTTACTTCGCGCATTTGACTGATATTTTGACGAGGCGAACTCAATGCGCGAAATTAAACTTCGGGCTCTTGTTATATAAATAACTATTTAACTAGCAAAAAAATTGAACTCATTTATAGGAATGTCCTTATTTTAACTGACAATCCAATTTCCAAAAAAATCCAAAATTCCTTCTAAATGAGTTCTAACCAGGGTTCTAACAATTATTTTATATGATACAATTCTGCTCCAAAATCAATTTTTCTGATTGTTTTCAATAAAATTTAATACAATTTCTTAAAGAGAACGGATAGTTATATTGAATACAAACCATAAAAGAATGTCGTTATCTTAATTATCGCGTTTTCTGGAATCGACGGTTTTCCTATCATTCAAATCGGAACTGCCTTTTTCGAAAAGGATGGCCTCTTAAATCTGAATAATACGGAACGAAATCTGGGTCCCGGGAGGAATACTGCTGACGTTCGAGGATATTTCGTAGAATTACTGCTTATCTTACATTTCACAAAAAAAGTATTCTTGATAAAAAGCTCTGCATGACTTGTAGATCCATAACTAAGCAAATATTTGCTGGAATACGGGAAAATCAAAATCATGATATGGAGTGAGAGTTTAAGCAGTACCGAAGTGGAAAATTTTACAATTGTTACTAAGTAGCAAAAATTATACTCACTTGTACAAGTAGAATACCGACACTCTCCCCACCACTTTTTTTGACGTAACAAGTTCTTCGCCTTTAACCAACTTACGGAGGTAAATGTAGCTACCCATTTCACGATTTGACAGGTAGTAGAAGAACGCTACATTTGTCACATTTCTCAAGAGTGGCATTTCTATTCTAATCGTAAAATGATATTGTTCAACTATTGTTGTTGTCTTACCCATTTCTCTTGTATAAAATTGGGTTTTCTTTGTCAAAATGCGAATTCCTAGTTTCATTAATTAGGGAAATCCCAACGCCCTATGCCATTGGAAGTAACTACCTATATTGGCATGCTTTCTTTCTACAATACCATACACTACTACAGGTATTAGGCTCAGGAAGTTACCCACTGATATGAAGCACAAATGACGTCAACAAAGTCCTTAGTGCTTCGATCTGCACTAACGAAGCACTAAGAACTTTGCATGGTGACGGCATTTGTACTTCATATCGGTGGCTAACTTCCTGAACCTTATATTCTAATTGTGACGATGAAATTTTTAATATTCGATAGTAGTTCGAATCATAAATTGTGTGATAAATAGGTATTTACTAATCTATGGTAATTAATTTCCTATTTTTCGTTATAGGTGAAAGTATGGTTCCAAAATCGTAGAATCAAGTGGCGAAAGCATCATTTAGAACTAACTCATCAACGTTTAGCGGCTCTGAAACAACAACAATTACTTCTTAGTGAAGTGCAAGTTGATAATCAGGACACAAATAGTTCAAGCACAGACAATACGTGAAACTTTATCGATCGCAATATGAAAAGTAAATATAAAATAAACGTGTAAGTGCAATGTGTACCTCTAGGAGGGTATCAAAAACGTGTGATCACAAATTAGATACAGTATGCCATGGTGACGGATTTGTAACTGCAGCGAGAAATTGAGAAACTACTTTTAAATTAATATATGTAACAAATTAATTTAAACTCAATCTTGTATTATAATAGCAATAAACATTGTAACAAAAGTGTTGGCTTTTATTATGTGGTGGTGCTGTATAGATAAAGTTTAATCATGATTATGAATAATCGAATAATTTTGATAAGGGCTTAGTTGGTTTTTGCTCGCCATCAGCGTTCGCCCCTGAGTAAGTTTGGTGACCTTTGATCTTCTTACCCAAATCCAAGAGTTCTTACTTGCACCAAGAAGAACTTATACCTATACCAGGTTTCAAGTTCTTAAAAACTTCCGTTCGAGCGCTATCACGTGCACATACACATACAGACGGACGGTTGAACTACATGATTTCAAGAAGACGCTGTCCGGTCCTTAGTAAAATTAATCAATTAATTATCGATCACTTGATGATCTCTTACAACGATCAAAATAAATCATTTCATTTTGGTCTGGGTAAGCATGCACCGCGTGGTAACGTGAACCATTAATTATACACACCAACCATCAATATCGTTTCCCGTCTTTAGGTTATTAAATGTATGTACACTTTTAGATATATTATAGTAATTAGTATTTTTTGAATCTTAGCATCATGTCTTTTCCATTTAGAAATACTTATTATTTTCAACTGCAGTTTTACCTTCTCCTTCTGCCGGTTCGGGATATATTCCTCAACGTAAACGTAAATAGCTGCCGCTTTTAACAGTATATCTGTTTGAAACTTCCACAGAGAATAACCCTCTGAATTCTTAAGGTTTTCTATGTTGTTCCGCCATTATTCCTATATAACATTATCATCATAGGGATCTCACAAATGCCAATAGAAAATAACACCACCGTATTGTCTGTTTCTGTATCTATGCGTTTAAATAAAACTGCATGCCTATAATTGCATAGTAGGTAACAAACAGAGTAGCTCCACCTAATTTTATATTCAAAGCTCCAACGGAAGAGCAGAATGCGACATCTTCATGCAATTCTCACTAAACATATGACCAAGAAAAATTTCAAAGCGTTTTCATTCGTTTCTCTCTACTAACTTCTGGCTTCGACTTTAAAATCTTGCCGAGTGCCTCATCAGATAATAATACATTATGATGCAAGTGAATGTCAGCCTTTAAAGTACGTACATTGGTTGAGGCCTTAATTTTGCCAATGCCTTAAGGGCACTTATCATATACGTATCTCATATCAATTTGTACTAAGTATACCGGCACTTCTGAGCGATTATTTGAAGCCAAGGATAATTTCATAAGTGGCATTCGATGCTCGTCCCGAACTAACGCCGTAGTACTTATGCCATATAAATCAGATGTAAGTACCGAACTGGGTCACATAAGTAATTAAGGAGTATCCGGTTTCAACATTTACTAAGTCACTCGTTCCAGTCTAAAAATACGTTTAAACGATCGGTTTTAAAAGTTCCAATTCCAATTTAATGCGTAGCAGTCTAATTAAACCAGGTTTTCTTTAGAAAACAGTATTGTTGTTATACGGTTTCTGTGCCCATAAATTATAATAATGTTTTACCTATGCCATGACAACAGAATTCCGTTAAGCAACTAAAGCAGTAAAGGCAAAAAATGTACGTTTCGAGCACATCCAATTGCTTCTAGAATGGATATTTGAACTTGTAAAGGAAGCGGCCAAACAGTCAATAATGCTCAATCATAAAAAAGTTATAGTTGTAAATCGTAAAATTTTTATAATTCACGAAGCTTGCGTAAGTGCATTATGTGTCATTATCTTTTGAAGATAAGCTACATTCAGAAAAATGAATATTAGCATCATAGAAAGCTCTTATTATGCGTGTCAATCATCAGGTATGGTATCATGTGTTAAAGATTTTCCCTACAGTGGCTACTAGGGAATGCAATCCCGCAGCAAAATCTCAATCCCGGTATTTGCGGGATTGTTAGATGTTAATCTCGCGGGATCGCGGTATTTGCGGAGGATCCCGCAAATCTTTAAATAAATTGGCAAATAAGCAATTCTGTGCGGTTAACTTCTGTATTAAAATAAATCGCTAATTATCATAATATTTAACAAAAAAGTACCTTCGGCCTAACTTAGAACTCAAAAAAACCTCACCTGTAAAGCACAAAAAGGTGAACTTCCAAAGTGCTTCAATAATCATAGTACAATTTTAACGAAAAAAGTTTTATTTGTTACTCAGTTGTAAACGTTTATTAACAAGACAAAACGCAAACGGGTAAACGTCATCTTTAAACGCTACTGACTTGTAAAACTGACAGCTGACGTGTAAAAATTTTACAAGTTAGTAATCTAGTAATTTCATTGGCCAGAATTAATGCGAAGTCTCTGTTACATGGATAACATGATATTTTAGACATTTCTTCGAGATCAATTTAAGAACTAATTATTTACGTTTACTATTGTTTACAAATGAGTAACAAATAAAATATTGTACATTATACGCCAGGTAATAGTTTTTACTGGCTCTAGGAGATGACAGGCTCGCCTGACGGCTCGCCAGTCAACCTCTCCTATCGCTAGTAAAAACTCACTTACCTGGCTAATAATGTAAAATACTATAACAATTATTTAAAAAATAACTTCTCCGTTATGCGTTTCATTAACACAGTAAACAGAGTCGTCCCCTTGGTAGCCAAATTCCTCAGTCCCGCAAATCCAGCGGGATCCTGCTCCACTTATGCGCGGGATTAATCCCGCAAAAATGCTGCGGGATCCCGGTATTTCGCGATCCCGGTATTGCATTCCCTAGTGGCTACAGTGACCATTTAATGAAACCTGGAAACGGGACACGTGTAGAACACTAGTCTACCTTTTCGAAGGCAAAGACAGTGCTTATTTAGCTAACATCACTTAGTCCTTTCATATATGAGGGACACAGCGATATCATCAATAAATGAAGGAACCATAGCCATTAATAGCACCCCACATTGTCAGGATCATTAAGTCCCCTCACAGTACTTGGTCTCGATGGCTGCTCTCGGCCTGGGCCACTGTAATTACAAGAAACATAGGGAGCACCTCTGTTTTTCATTTAGTTAGATAGCTACTCTAGTCGCAATACTCAGGAACACTAAAACATGCTACACTTGGTAGCTGGGTTAACGAGAACAGAGGATTTTCTCACGCCTTATGCCATCCGGCACCTCATGCGCAATAAAAGTTCCTTGTGCGTAACCCACCCTCACAATGAACGAGGGCAAACAAGAGGTGTCTTCGAACGCGCTGGGCTCGCACGGTCCAGGCACGGAGTACTTACACCGATCTGAAAACTCGACGCATCCTTAGGTACGGAGCATTTACACCGCTCAGAAGACCCGCACGTACCCTTAAATTGGCCGGAACAGTACTGTCGGCACTACGTAATTCGAGGTGATATCATGGGAGGCTTTCCAACGTGTCTAGACGCGCACCATTCACAAACAAAACGCTGTTATAGTCAACAGGACCTTGCGTTAGGAACCTTAAGGCGGAAACACATTACTGTCACGTCACGTGAGCTCACTTGCTATCACGTAAAGTATACCTTTGCGTGATGTCACGCTAGGAGACACACTTGTGTGCACTCACGGTGTCGCGCGGTAGCTGTCGTTGCAATTTAAGATTTGCATTTAGTCATTAGTAGCGATGAAGCGAAGTAGAGATTCTTCTTCGTCAAGTTCCTCAACGGCTTTATGGCTCAGTGGTAGAGCGTTGGGCTATAAATCCGGAGGTCGGGTGTTCGCACCTGGGTTGAGGTGCATTTTTCATCTGTGGCAGAGTTGAAAATTATCTTAGACCAGTTTCGAGCATTCTGCCGGCTACTCCGTATTAGGTTTTCCTGCAGTTTTCCTAATTCGTAATGTAAATACCGGAGTAGTATAGAACAGCTTAAGACCGTCTGCAGAGGCACCTCTAAAAAATCATTATGCGGGTCACTCTGTAATTAGGCGCAAGCCTGTTGAGGGCCCAGAACAAGAGAGGTACAATGAAATAAAAATTTTAAAAAAATTTCAGACGAGGAAGAGGATATAGAAAACGTGGCTGCTTTTACAGTTTTATTTTTAAGATTCTACCAATTTCCTCCCAAGCTTCTTGTCGAACCCTCTGATCCCGGTACTCAGCAGAGGAGTGATTGTATGTGAGACGAACAATATCACAAGTTACAATTGATCACAGCTTAATCACAGAGAACAGTGTCACGGAAGTCAGAAAAATCATTTGTTAAAAACTCCTTGATGCTGTAAAAAGCTTTTGCAGTCAAGTACTTTAAGGCTTACTTTAAATTGGAATAAGTTAAGTTGTTTAATTTGAGAAGGTAGGACGTTGTATAAATGTATGCAATAATAGTTACACGAAAATGTAGTCCTGTCCAGCCTCACAAAAGGTAGACTTACGTTATCCCTATTACGGGTCTGATAGTTGTGGCACGTAGAGTGTACCTCAAAATTTTCAATGTTTGCTTTTATGTACAGAAGGCACTCCAGTATATACAACCAAGGATATGTTAATATACGGAGCGATGCAAAAGCGTCTTTGCATTGCTCTCTATATTTAAGGTTATTAATGATCCTAATGGCTCTCCTTTGTAGCCCGAAAATACGATTGGCTATACTGGAATGTCCCCATACCAATAATCCATAGGAAATATGAGGCTGAATTAAAGAGAAGTATATTGTTTTAAGAATTTTTGCAGATAGACTACCAAAGGCCGCACGTAACAGGTAAATACCAGAATGATTTTTTTTAGAAATTTCATCCCCATGATTATGCCATGCTAGTTTATAGTCAAGATGTACGCCCAGATACTTAACTTTCGGTGACGTGAGGGATACGTCAAACTTGCACAGTGAAGATGTAACATTTAAAGACTTGTTCTTATTTAGACATAATTGATTTGCATTGAACCATTCTGTGGCCTTCGTTTGCACCTCCCTGCTAAGAGAAGTTG